TTTTTTTCACGGAAGTCATGAACCGATTTTTAGGGATGAAATAAGAAATTCTGCTCTTTAAAAGCACAAAGTTGTAAATAAGAAACAGAAATGGTTAAAAATAACAGATCTTTTTGTATTATTTTACTACTAATGGAATCCCGCAACACTGGCCACCTTTGGTGAGAAGTTGCATCAGTAGCGATAGTTTGGAGTGGAAGCAGACGAGGCTTGGTACACGGCTGGTTAGAGCTGGCAGGAGAACCAGTGGGAAGAGCGTAGAGAAAGGCTGGCTGGTGGGCGTTGATTGGAGCAGAGAGTCAGACAGGCAGGCTTTATCCAGGAAGAGATGATGGTGGAAAGCGTGCAAGGCAATTGGCACACTGATGAGCAATGGAGAGCAACCCATGACACAGAAAGAAGGCATAACTTTGAGACAACTTGACTGCAGACTGTGCCTAGAGACTACAGCTAGTTCAGCTGCAGTGTCAGTGCCATGTAAAAGGACTGAACAGGCTGAAATTTAAGGTTCAAATACTGCTGGATCTTAATGAGAGGATGAGTTTCAGATGTGCCAGTTGATTGGTCAGTTTCAGGAACTTCACCCAGACAGACACGCATGGAGAGAGGGCTTTTCTCATTTCTCTGTTCCTTGCCTTCCTGTCTCCTCTATCCTCTGTCCTCATTCACTCTGTGAATCACCTTCAAGAACGTCGCATCTCGTCAGCTCAGTCACAGTGTCCACACTGAGTCACTGTTACAGTAAGTTATTGAGGGCTGTACCATTGTCAAACTGTGCAAGGGCACCACAAGAAACATTTCGAGCCCTTCATGCACACTTTCGTAAGTCTGTATTTCTGCAGACTTTACCATATGCATTTACCCTCAGTTCACAGCGTTGTTACACTACTAAGGGATGCCACACAGGCATTAAAAGAAAACTGTATACAAAGAAGACTCCTTGAGGGTTACAGGATGAAAGGTGACATAAAATTACAGGAATGCAGCATGTTTTATCACAAACCATGCTTGTACATCATTGTTTTTCAAGTTTTATTTAGTAAAGAAACATGACAAAAATACTAGAGAGAATGAGGTACCTGTCGTTCTCGCTATAAGAAAAGAGCTTTGAATATATTTAAAAACACATGCAGTCTCCATCCCTTTAGATAGTCAGTAAAGTGTGTAAAGCCATGTGCTAAAGTGCTCTTGGACTTCACAGCTGTATACAAAGGAGACGTTAGGTACCCTCTGTGATGCTCTTGTGCTTAGGTCTTAAGATGGATATCGGGATCGGGCTCTAAAATGTATCTGGAGACGGGAGCAATCAATAGAGAGAAGAGTTGTAAGACGAGGATATCGAGGATGACCAGGTGCACCTTGAGAAAGTCTTTTCAACCATGTCATACAAAACAGCTGTGCCAAACAGCTGGAATCTTTAAAGCATGGTGGTAGAAGGATTTTACAAATACATGTGTTTATTGTTCACTGGTTGTGTTGGTTATCAAAGGAAATCATCTCTACCCTTCAACATTTGTGGGTGTGATGACTAAAGGAAGAAAAATATATTATGTGTGCATTCTTGTCACACTGTGTCACACTGGGAATTGAATATAAACGGTTTGTTTTCATGAACACTGTCATGCTCATCTGACAGAGATCATAAATAACAGTAGTAGTCTTAAAAACCCCACAATGAACCGATTAAGAAGCTGTGCACTCCTCATTCTACACTGACACTGTCTTAAAATGACAGCTCAGAAGCAAGGATGTCTCATTTTGTTAATGCCTCCTGCCTCAAATCCTCTCTCCTCATGCCTCTTCCTTGATTTCTAGTACTGAGATGAGGACCGTATAGAAGGTAAGGCAGCCATGGCAGTTTGTCCTAAAACAACAACAATATTTTCCACATTTCGACTTTTTTCTCAAAAGACATTTTCAACTCTAATCTTGAAATTTCCACTTCTGTGAAGTCGACTGTGAGGAGGCGAAAGAAGCTTGAATTGGTTTTATTAACGTGATATTTACCATCTGCATGTGTCAGCTGTATCAGCTGAGCCAGTAGCGGATGGGGGTTGGCAGCAGGATCCGCTGATCTGCTGTAACCGTGTCTGAGCTCAAGTTTGTGAATGAATTTCATCCTCAATTCATTATTCATTTCGATGAGTTCACAGGTGCGCTGGTTGGCTGTGAAATTTTTATGTGTTTAAATGTGCATTTTTCATCTAAATACACTCTGATACAGCTAATTTGTTTCTCTAGTTTATACTTAAGTGCAGCATGACTGGTACAGAACTGTTTGGTTTTGAATGGATTGAGGTTAGAGTCAGGAAAGTACTTTGGTTAGTGTTATGAAAACAGCGTGAGCGATTTAAAGTAAATAAAAGCCAATCAAACATTGTATTTAATAAGTTCTATCAGTGCATCGTGTAACATATAAAACAGCTGAAGTTACTAGACCTGCGTTTGGTACTACTGCCAAGTCAGCACTTTGGTAGAAATCAACACTAATGACTGAAATGTTGAAAAGTTTAATTGATTTGTGTCTTATTGGTTAACAATTTCTAACTATGATTAGATAATAGAATAATTAATGAACTAATTAACTCAATTAACTAAACAAAGTTACAAAATAAATACAAATGCCTCTAATTATAAATATCCCAATGTATTACACAAAATTAAATATATATAGTTGACACTGAGGTGCCCCCTCTTATATTGACTTTGTAATTTTCTCTGTAGAGGATGTGATTTTAAGGGGGTGCAAGTATTGCATTGTGTACTTTAGATCAGCGGTCCCCAACCTTTTTTGCACCACGGACCGGTTTATGCCCGACAATATTTTCACAGACCGGCCTTTAAGGTGTCGCAGATAAATACAACAAAATAAAACTAGTACCAGTACCGAAAAAAAGAAGATTTATTCATAACACACGTGAAAAGACCCAGGAAAACTGAGTTAATGATAAAAACGATAACAAAATAACGCTGAAAACCGATAAAAACCCTGAAAACCATACATTTCACCTGAGCCTCAACTCTCGCGGCCCGGTACCAAACGACTCACGGACCCGAGGCCCGGGAGTTGGGGACCGCTGCTTTAGAGGGACCAATTGTAAAGCCAGATGCCAACAGGCCGGAAAGATTTAAGTCACACTTTTCTATATTTGTGATCGCAATTTGGTGAAGACAAAATGTGTTTGTTCAGAGTCAAAACTAGACAGTTTTAGGCTGTGGATGAACATTGATAGTGATTTTTTTCTCTCTTCTTTGTAACGAGTGGATTCTATTGGTGGCCTTGAAGCCTTTTTCCAGCATCTGTCGATTTTACTTGTGTCTGCAGAAATGTCAAGGTCAGAAATCTGAGCTGTAGGTAAAAGATTAGAAAGCATTTTATCTGAATGAAGTGATGAAGAAAATATTAGTCTGGAAGGAAAGCCTGAGAGCTGGAACAGTGTGAGCTGTAGTAGTTCTGCTAAGATCTCTGCTTGGTTTGGTTCTCATTGGTACAAAATGACAGTAAATAACACCACTTACATGTGAGGCTACTGAAGTGTTCTTTCTCCACCGAGTAAACCGAGTAAAGTATAAAATGATACTGACAGATTCAAATCTCTGAGCCAAGTTTATCGCTTAGGATCCCAGTTACTGTGATTCCTTTGGTCTGTGGTTTGATCCGATTTGACTGACAGGGTGCAGGAAACACAAGCAAAGCCCACAATACTGTCATCAGACATCTGTTCAAATGTTAATAATTCTTGATTTGTGCATGGGAGAGGATATAACAACTTTTTCAAACAACTGCGGTGTTCATAGCGTGAACCCGACTGAAAGAGTTCTGGGCCTTTAAGCACGAGGTTAGTTCAGATCCAGCATTATTATCTCTGAGGGTCCTCACGCATGTGTGTCATTTATTGTGTAATTTTACTAACTTGTGACAACAGATGACTTACACACATAACACACAATGCTATTGTACGCAATTCTTAATAAAAGCTGTTTTCTTTTCTCTCTCTCTCTCTCCTTCTTCCGTCCTGCTGCGTGAAACAACAGATCACTTGGGCATCGAGTTTATGGGTAAGGAAGCTTTTCTTGTCTTGCATCTGTCTGAGTCATAACTGTAAACATCACCGCTTTTCATATTGGATAAACAATGCACTCTGAGGGCTCGGATACAGAACAAATTGTTCATAACAGCCAGCAAACGGCATAAGTTGGATGTGTCTAATTACATATGGCACTGTGACATAATTTGAAATGTAATCAGGAAAGCTGTGGTGAATACAAATATATCTATAGTTATACATTAACATATTAGCTGCCGTCAACCGTGCGTGCTGCACTGTATTTTACACGCTGTCTTAATCTGTTTTTATCCTCCTTACACATATGTACTTACGTATCTTTACTCCCCGCACCATTTCTATCTTTCTGCTTTCTTTCTCTCTCTTGCACTATCTCTCTCTTTTTCTCACAATTGCTCATGAAGTGTCCCACCAGAATACCAATGTGCTGCAGTCTCCTTGGAAACAGGGAGAACAGAGAGGCGTGCAGGGTGCAGTGAGGGAGTTTTTGTGATGTTGGCACCGTTACCAGTCGCACTCCTCATTAGTATGTGTGGGTATGTGTGCGCATGCATGGCACATGCTCAAAGTGTGTGTCTGAAGCCCTAATGTGAGTTTGATGAGATCCTTCCAGCGATTGTGTGTTGAATGTTAGTGTGCGTTTCCCATGCACACGCTGTGAAGGATAGATGCCAGCAGCTCCACCTCGTCTTCGCCAAGCTGCTCGCTCCCGGTTTTGGCTCTCGCGGACTCTGTGTCGGGTATCACAGCTGAGAAGCGCTAGTTAACGACATGAAATTTGTTAACCAGAGCCCCTCACTCTCTCTCAAAATGTGTCCTCTTTAGGTTAAAAAAATCTCTGTAGTATCAAGGAAAATGCCCTTCCTCTTGCCTGGCTTTACAGCATCTACATGCTCAAAGTCAAATTTCACAAGAACAAGCACTGCTGCATCTCTTTCAGCTGCCCGATCGCTGCCTAAGCAGTCAAACGAAGTAAAGCTTTTTTTAGAAAACCTGCTTAGACTATGCAAACTTGGCAGTGACAGATGATATTTTCTACAGAGCTATCTTGCAGGTTTCCCCATTTATATTCAGCGAGAGGTTTTATGCTTCTGCAACATTGTTCAGGCTGCCACATTTTCATTGCCGAGCTGACGTCTCTAGTCCTGCCAACGTCTTCCCCCAGCATTGTGTTAAGCAGCGGCTAGATAAGAACCTCCCACACTCAATCCTGGTGTGTCAGTGTCTGTGCCTTTGGAAGCTCTTTGAAGGAAAGAAATGCACAGACCTACTGTAATGCTCTATGTCACAGATTATTGTCATTAATGCAAGTGAGAAAATATACTTTACATAGTAGATTAAACTACAAACTGTCACTTGAACTGCCCCATCCTTTCTGTCAATAGCAAGTGATAGCAAATCGTTATTTCACTCTAAGACACATTGCATCAACAACAGGATGATTTATAGATACCATTTGACCAAAAAGGCTCTGATCTGAGGATTAAAAAGGACCAATCTCAGTTGCTGCTGAGAAACTCGCCCTTAATAATAAATAAACAGATTTTTAGTTTGGAGTAAATTTAACATTCAAGTAAAAGGTTTGAGGGATTGCAGGGAGCTCTAGCATGAAGACATTAGTGTTTGAGATGAGATTAAAAAAAATGTAATCTTGGGCCCCAACCTACACCAGATGTCACTGGCATCACTATAAACAGCAACGAAGTCACATTTAAACACATGGGGTAGCCGTAAGCATCATTTGACAACTGTCGAGAAGCGACACATTTATTCCCGACCATAAATGTTACCAGCGACTGAAAACAAATGTAAAAAGTGAGCAAAAGTAAAAGAAATCCATGAGTGCAAAACACAAATCACCCAAACATGACAGGGTCTGACTCACAAACCCATGACTTTGAAACTGCCGCCCCTCAGGCAGACTTTGTCACTCTTTTAAAAGAGAACTTTTATCTCTTTGTGTCCAATGTTGCCTCTGCCAGCGTGTCTCTGTGATGCCAGCAGCTGCTGACAGAACGGCAGTACTTGACTCCAAAGATGAGAATGTGTTGGTCAAACTTGACATTCTTTGCCATACAAACAAGTAAATATTAACATGTGGGGTTTAATTTTGTTGGCTTCATTGGGTGAGGGCCTCCAGCTCGCACTGGAAAGGTTCGCAGCCGAGTGTGAAGCAGCGGGAATGAGGATCAGCACCTCCAAATCTGAGGCCATGGTTCTCAGCCGGAAAAGGGTGACCACTCCGGGTCGGGGATGAGTTCCTGCCCCAAGTGGAGGAGTTCAAGTATCTCGGGGTCTTGTTCGCGAGTGATGGGAGAAGGGAGCCGGAGATCGACAGACGGATTGGGGCTGCAGCTGCAGTAATGCAGACGCTGCACCGGTCCGTCGTGGTGAAGAGAGAGCTGAGTGTAAAAGCGAAGCTCTCAATTTACCGGTCGATCTACGTCCCTACCCTCACCTATGGCCACGAGCTGTGGGTAGTGACCGAAAGAACGAGATCGCGGATACAAGCAGCAGAAATGAGCTTCCTCCGAAGGGTGGCTGGCCTCTCCCTTAGAGATAGGGTGAGAAGTTCGGACATCCGGGAGGGGCTCAGAGTAGAGCAGCTGCTGCTCCACATCGAAAGGAGCCAGCTGAGGTGGTTCGGGCATCTGACAAGGATGCCCCCTGGGCGCCTGCTGGGTGAGGTGTTCCAGGCATGTCCCACCGGGAGGAGGCCCCGGGGCAGACCCAGGACACGCTGGAGAGATTATATCTCTCGGCTGGCCCGAGAACGCCTTGGTGTTCCCCCGGATAAGCTGGAGGAGGTGGCTGGGGAGAGGGAGGTCTGGGCCTCTTTGCTTAGGCTGCTGCCCCCACGACCCGGCCCCGGTTAAAGCGGATGAAGATGGATGGATGGATGGATGGATGTTTTCATTTTTGCTATATATATTTTGCTATATAACATTGCACTGTGGGGATAGGTTAATTGGATAACCCAAATTGTCACTAGGTATGAATGTGAGTGCGAATGGTTGTTTGTCCCTGTGTGTTAGCCTTGCGACAGACTGGCGACCTGTCCAGGGTGTACCCCGCCTCTCGCCCTATGACAGCTGGGATAGGCTCCAGCGCCCCCCACGACCCTGAAAAGGATAAGCAGAAGTGAATGGATGGATGGAACATTGCACTGTCCACTTTCTGCTGTAGCAAAACAAATTTCCCACGTGTGGGATAATAAAGGTTATCTTATCTTAACCCAGTTGTGGTTCGTTTTACAGATAACTTGAAGCTTTGTGCCTGTTTTATAGAGAATGAACTTCTCCCCTCCAAGAGACTCAGTTTCTGGGGTTAAAAGGAGAAATCTCTCCTCCGAGGACATCACAGCCTGAAGCCCTGAGCCGAGACCACCTTCAGGAATTCTTTGATCCAGTTTTCCTCTTAATATATTTTCTGGTTACTTGGCAGAAGTTGACAAATTTGACAGCATCCAGTCAGTCAGTCATGTGGTCATCAATATTTCTAATATGACTGAGCTGTGACTGGAAGCTTTTGCACCGACTTGTAAATCAATGTTTGAAGAAAGTGTTACAAGCAGCTACTTTTGAAGGGCAGTAGATGTATTTTAAGTCATGTTGATTTTCAATTTCCTTCCAGAGGGTTCGTCGAGTGATTGTGCTGGAAGGAGGCTGGTTAGCAAAGGCGAACAGACCTAGCTGGACGCATTTGTTTCTTTCTGTCATTTACTTCACATCGTGATAGAAACTGGCGAGGTAGAAAAACTTTTTAAATCACTCACTCAACTTTGGTAAGCCGAGAACTAAAATGCACTGAGAATGCTAAATATTAAGCCCGAGTTGTTTGGTATGACAGAAGAGAAAGGAGATAAGTAACACAAGGGAAGAAAGACAGAGAGGAATTTATAAACTGCAATCACTCCGGTGTCTTCCCAGAGATCCCTTTTCTATCACAATTTCATTTATTTTTATTATACTGAGATTTTCTGTGAAGGGTTTTGAATTCCTCGTGGTGCAACTTGGCTCTTTTTGAATAAATCGGTGTTGCTTCTAGAAACATTAACTTTTTTTTTCCTATAGGTTCAGGATTAGAGAATTTTTAGTAATAAAAAAATAAATAAATACTCCGTAATATGTCCCATTATTTTTTAAGAAAATTGCCATGGGAGAATTGGCCCTGTTATTTGCTATCGTCATCTGACACTGATGAATAATGCATCCAAAAAGCTTCTGCATCCAGATTCATCAAAGTTAATTATCCTTTAGTTGTGCTGAAGTCAGCCTTTAGTAAAATTGTTATGCAAATCTATCCGTAAACCAACCAAACCAAAAACAGGCAGACAAAAACATAGCATTCAGGCACTGGGGCATGAGAATTTGAAGGGTTAAAGAATCTGTGGTGCTTGATGGTGGATCCAAACAAAGTGCTTGTTAAAATCAATTTCATGCCACACTAGAAGGACCAGCCAGGAAAAGCCGGGGCGATGAGCTCTCTCCTTTTAGTGCCAGTAAGAAGCCAAACGGCAGGCAGCACACAGAAGAATGGCTACTACCAGCACATACTGAGCTACAGTAACATCTTCCGGGCTGTGGGACAGGAGAGAATATTATGAGAAGCAAGAAAAAAAAGTGATAGAAAGAAAGAAAATTGCCAGCGATAACAATATCTCCAGTCACCTAAATAGATTCAGTCTGTAAATGGGTGAATAAAGCTATCCAAGTAATAGAGGAAAGAACCGTGACCAGCCAAGAGAGCATGTTTACTCTAGCACGGCAGGCCTGCATAATAAAGGTTTTATCCACCATCAGCAGTCTGTGCTGCGGCACATGGAAATTCTAATGCTCAGAGCTGCGGAGAAATGGCAACATAATCCCACACTCTGTCTGCATCCTTTGATCTTTGCTTTTTCTTATGTCACTCCTTCCATTCATCCATCCATGTCAGTCTTTAATGATCATGACATTTATCATGGCCTAGACTGGGGGCATGTGATAAACAGAGCATCGTTGGTATCAGAATGCTCATCTTTATATGCCACGCTTTGACAGTAACAAACTCTTCTTGTGCACTTTATGTAACCGTCTCGGCCCGTGACAATGGGCAACCGAGCTGTCATTGACATGGACTCGTAATAAATGATCTAACTTGATAAAACAATGTGGAGCATAAGATGAAGAAAAATTTGGTATCAAGACTTAAGAATCAAAATGGAACTGCATAATGTACATTATGATATAAAAAAGTTTTTTTTTAATCTCATCATTATGGAACCAAATACTACCTTTAAAGGATTAAAACAGCATTCTCATAGGGCTGAACCTTTAAATATCAGAATTTATTTGGGCTTTTGAAAATGAATCAATCTACAGTTGAGTGTTAAACGTATTTAAATCACTGTTTTCTTTTTCATTGTTTGTTCTGATTGTATTGTTGGTGAACAGTCTGCAGCTTTGTCTCAAGGTTGGTACCATTTTACCTGTTTTAGATGAAGCCAAGAACCAATGCCAAAACAGTTGCTTGAATGGCCACTGCGAGTCGGTCTCCATCGACTCCTATGTCCCATGTACAGGGGTTTTATTAAGGCTTAAAATGGAACAGGTGAAGGCCTCGAGAGCGGTGTTTCCCAACCATTTGCAGCCATGGCACATATTTCCCATTAGAAAATCACACAGCACACCACCAAACAAAAATGTCGCAAAAAGCATATTGATCATTTTTCTCCGTGAAGCCGGTATAGCGGAATTGGCTCGCTTTGTCCCCAGTATACCTTGTTTTTTCTCACTCATGCACTCATTTCTCACTTCATCTGGGTCCGAATGTTCTCCAGGACTCAGGTCAGACTGACTACTTTTTCTTTTTGAAACACTTATCTTTTGCTATTACGTGCTGTGTTGTCTCACTTGCAGCATGACCATGTCATTTCTTCTTCGTCTTCTTCTGTTTTACTGGCAGTTGGTAACCCGTTTAATTGGAGTAAGAAGTTGTACTGCCCTCTAGTGGAAAAGAATATAATTGTTCTGCCCATTACTCACGCTGGTCAATTACAGCAGCGGTCCCCAACCCCTGGGCCACAGACTGGTACCGGGCCACGAGAGTTGAGGCTCGGATGTAAAATGTATGGTTTTCAGGGTTTTTATTGTTATTTTTCAATGATTTTTATCATTAACTCGGTTTCCCTGGGTCTTTTCCCATGTGTTGTGAATAAATCTTCTTATTTTGCCACCTGTACTGGTTTTATTTTGTTATATTTATCCGCAACACCTTAAAGGCCAGTCAGTGAAAATATTGTCAGACGTAAACCGGTCCGTGGCACACAAAAGGTTGGGGACGGCTGGATTAGAGTACCAATCAGGTGGATAATCTTTCACCGCACACCTGATCATTTCTCGCGGCACATCCAGTGGTTGCGAAACACTGCCCTAGAGGGTCTGAAAATTCAAGCTGCTGAACTGCATTGCTAAACCCTGTTTGTGGTATTGGTGTCTTTTGGAGTTTTGTCTGACAAACATTATGGTTTGTTGCATCGTTAACTGTCCCATCAGTTCATCTAAGAAGTTAGTGCTCCAGTTCTCATGAGAGAAATTCTAGTATTTTATTTTTATTGTACTTAGCACTATTAGCTCGGTGTGCAATGCTACCATACAGTGTCTAGATGCACATTCTCAGTCATATTTGCTAGCCTTTGCTGATAACTTGCATTGGAACTTTTCATGCAATTATGGTCACTTCTCTTTCCAGCAACATAACAACATAACAGCAGAGTTGAGGCTTCACAGCAAAAGTCTACAAACAATGAGTAACATCAAAGGGGCCGAGTCCATCCTTTCCATTACCTCCATTTCTGGTAGTCTCAAAACCTGGTTGATCAGTAGCTTCTATGCTAGTATGCCAACACTGACTGTTTGACCAATCAATCATCCAAATTCTGCAACAATATAAACTTTGAACTGAATCCAATGTGCTGCCAATCAGCATTAAATTCTACTACCTTCAAACTCCAGGCCACAGTTTATTCCATAATTGTACAAATGAAATACAACTGAATAGTCTTTCACCTAATATCTGTAACAGTCCTTGACAGTGTCGGTGCCTGCCAGCTGCCTGACTTGTCCATATGTTTGGTATTAGATTAAAATCCTTGAATTACTCACTAATCTGGCACCCTTTGTCACTAAAATAAGGGTAAGATTCAATGTGCAAACACTGCCTGGATAGAAAAAAAATTGAAATCTCTTAATGCACAAGAGCTTTTTTTGTTTGTTTGTTTGTTTGTTTTAACTTTCAGTGATTTTTGAGGGGAAAACTGAGTCGATCCTAATGGACTTGGCTCAAAAGCACTCCAAAGGAGAGGGCCACTACTGATGGAAATGTGTGTGCTGGAGAACTGCCAAGTGCATTTTACTGTCCACTGTTTCTGTTTATATGTCATGAACTCCACCAGGCAGACTTCAGCCATCTCATCAGGGCTCAGAGTCAGTATGCCTGAGAGATATGCTGTCAAAATGCCACCTCTCTCTGTCGCCAGACTTTAGTCTCCTCTGTGTGTGAGTGTCTGTGACTGTGCTCTCACCCGCTATTTGATTGCACTGTAATTGTTTGTGCTTATTTTGAGCATTCGTGCTCTTCAGGACATAGGTGTGCATGTTGTATGATGTAACAGAAAGCTGGTCATTTCTCATAATGAAGCTCAACTCAATCATTTTGGATAATGATTGAAAGAGTCGGCACACAAAATCTGAGTTGTTTTGTTTTTAAGTAGGAAATGCGCACAGTTTTTCATTTTTATTTTCCCATTCAGTTATTTCACATAAGCCCACTTAAATTGTATTTCTCCAACTCTTTCTCCATTTCTTACCGGCTTATCTTTCTGGCACACTCAACTGTGCGGAGTGTATAGCAGCTGTAAACACGCTATGAATGTATATGACTACATACAAAAAAGGTCACAGCAGCCCTTCTATATTACTGCCGCTGCCACTTTTAGTGTAAAATATTGATCATATTTCTCTATAATGTGGCTGTGAATAAGTGGCCAGCAGGGCTCTGCAGTGCAGAAGTGGAGGTTTCAAGTGGAAAGTAATAGAAGATGTGACCTCACGGCTCCACAGATGGAACATGAACATACTTTCCCTCTCATGAGCCATATGATTAATTCATATCACGAGAGGGTGTTTTTTTGTTTTGTGTGTGTGTGTGTGTGTGTGTGTGTGTGTGTGTGTGTGTGTGTGTGTGTGTGTGTGTGTGTGTGTGTGTGTACAGCTAGTGTGACCAAATAAGCATGTGGGAGGGGAATCTAAGGTATTGCGTGACCTTGGACAAGCCGAAAACATATTTATGACTAACCAAATACTTGAAATGCTGTATGCATATGTAAATATAAGCCAGACAGTGTGTGATATACTGAAGTTTTGCCCATTTCTCTACTCAACTCGTAGCTGTGAATGCATGTATTCATATATTTCTGTCCCTACACACATTAATTACCACCCAGTTTTCTTCAGGCATGTTGTAAATTCTGAAAAGGCTAAACAGTGGCAGCCAGATCAGTCAATACGCTGGATTTATCAGATAAAAATCCATCTTCCTTCCTTACTAGCACCTGGCTGGTTGATTTTTCCTCACCTTTCCTTTTCGTCTTGGTCTCCTGCCTCCGTGTCTGTTGCTCTGCCATCCCTGCAGCCAACCGAATGTGCCCCAGCTCCCTCTACTGACATAATTGTAGCCAATGAGCAAATCTGTTGCAGCCTGATTAGCAGCATCTAAACAGCACTGGCCCCGGACATAATTTAGACATAGATGGAGGGAGAGAAATAATGGCACAGAGGAGAAGGGAAAAATGTACCGAAAAGACACTAATAGGTTCTGCAACATCTGTTATTTTTAGGGATTATAAATGATATATTGCATGTACGACTGGTTGTGCGATTTCTGTGAGGTACACAATAGCTTAAAGGCTGCTGTGAAATGCTTGGACCGAGAGATCCCTGTTTTAAATTCCCTGACAGGCTTAAAAAATATTGATGTGGTTGTGAATTAGTAACACTCTCCCTCGCTGACTGCTGTCAGGATGCCCTTGAGCAAAACGTAGTGGCTGCAGCTATGTTGCGGTTTTATTCCTCAGCTCGCAGCTGTGATTTTTGTGAGTGGTGATTATTTTTTTTGCGCTAAAGTGGCCATTCGTGCCCATCCATGGTGAAAATTTGTCTCAATCACTTCAACGTAAAACCTCAACACCTGTCATCGTCATTGTTTTCCAAGGTCTGAGCCTTGCTAAATAAAACTTGATTGATTGCCTATTAATGTATCTGAAGGCAACTATGATTTACTTGTTCGGAACAAACAAGACAGCTTCCATTTTTCTCCACTAATGGCGTTCCTCTGCACCATAACTCTTCTTGTCTCCATGTATTCAGGCTCCATTACATGTGGCATCCATTTCAAAAGCAGTGTCTTGTGTCTGTCGGACCATTACTCTATGTGGGAGAGCTGATAAAATGAGCCGAAAGGCTGTGTGGTAACTAAGAATAGCAAGTGTTGCTGGGGAGTTGTAAAAGCGTGTTTGTTTATTGCTGTTTTATTTCAATTTTATTTGGTTTACGCAAAAGTAATTACACTTGTAAGAATCTGCAAGACAGATACAAAAAAGCCTAAGAGAGCTGTTGCACCACAACTGCTTGTTCGATGATTTAAAATGGCTGTTTGGGTGCTGTAAACAACACCGTTAGAAATTAAAAATGGGTAAGTGCAAATCTCAAACCCATGTTTAATTCTGCGTTAGGGTGAGGACTGTGTGAATATTGACTGTGGGATGTCTGCAGATATACACACTCGCACAGATGCACAGCCCACCGTTTTCTCTCCCTTCCTTGGTCTCTCGCATAAACACGTATCAGCAAACACGTGCGTGATCTATAGCTTTATTTCCCCGAGGGTCTGTTGTTCAAACATTAATGTGACTTCTTCCTCTGTTTATTTCTCCACAGAGAGCAAAGAGGTGTATAAGAGACAGGTGCTGTCAATCACATCCATCGCCATGGCAATTAGCCTCCTGGGAACGCTGTGCATGGCCCTCTACTGCCGCAACAAGTGAGAAAATAAACTCACAACACCGCACATAAAGTCTACAGATGGCTGTTAAAACTACAATTCAAATCTTTTTCAATTCAGCATACTTACTAGCTTATTACTTACTTCCTGTAGGTAATATTCAAATTGCACTCGCGCAGTTAAATGCTGAGATCTGGGAACAACACTTCAACAACAAAGTGGATCAGTGAACAAATCTTTCTTTGAGAAAGAAGAAAGTCATGTAAAACTGCTTGTTGTAAATGAACTGTCACTAAGTAAACTTTAAACAGATTGCAGTGCACTGCCAGCGAGCATTAAAATCTACAAACTTCAAACTAGAGGCGACAGGTTATTTCATAATTGCACAAATAATGTGTGAATCTCCACCTCTAAGCATTATCTTCCTAGGAATTATGTTTCAGTACAAACAGCGAGCAGACTACGTAACAGATGGAGACGAACAGGTGTTATTTTTAATGTATTCAAGCTCTCTTTATCACTAACGTGTGAATGGTTTGTTAAGTAACATCAAAAATCAGACTTTCTTCAACCCTCTTTGTTGCATCTAACAGCCTCTAGACTTGATTTCATTTCTGTTAAAGACTCGGGTCATTTTTGCCCCACAAACTGTTGCATTTGTGCATTGAGCTGAGGTCCCAAATGCCTTGGCTTAATGCTTCTCCTTTGCTTTCCTCATGACACGCAACAAAAAGCCAGACTAGCCAGCACTAATTTAAAAATGGAGATCACTAATCACTAAGCCAATAAAAGTTCTGGTTCCCATTGCAAACAGACTAACACAAACTTCACAGAAATAAAATGAAAATCTGATGTGGACTCAAATCATATTTTGCTAGCAATAACAATAACAGGGAAGCATGCCGTTATCTTTGGGAGCCCACCAGCTCAAAATGGACAAATTGTCTTGCATCAGCGGGACATTCAGTACATGAAGGAATTTCCATTTCGTTTCAGAGAGTTTGAAAGAAATTGATGCTGCACTGATGAAGCGATGTAATCTTCCAAACACAGAGCATCCACTGGTTGTGTTGTGTGCCATCTATGATGTCACCAGGGCCCTATCACCTTGACACTTGAAGTTTGCTAGACTTGCTGTAATAAACTCTCAAATGCTAGATGTCACCACTCGGACAAAACATCACCACTGGTATAGAAGTAGAAGAAATTGAAAATGGAAAAAAATAAAAAAGCTTTTCTTCCAAGTTTTCTGCAGAAAGTCTCATCCTGTCAAGGTTTTACAGCATCTCTCTCTTAGCCCTTGTCCTTGTATACCATTAAAAGGGCGGCTAAAAACTGTTAAGGTCATACACTTGTGTGCACAATCATTTTCACCTAACGTAATCTTTCACTGAATATGACAAAAAATTAGAGATTGAGTTCATGAAGCTATTTATCCTAGACTTCTGCACAGGTAGAAGTCTTTATGCAACCAGACGTCCTACCCCCTGCTAGCCATTAAAGCATGCAGGTTTTAGTCACTTCTGCATTAGTTTCACTTTTCAGCCCTGGAAGCAATCTCTGTCTTTTATACTGTCTATTATGGCTCATCAGCATTTTGGCTGTTGCTAGCTGGCGCAGGCAGTGCAAGCATGCACAGGGGTGCAGCTGCAGCTCAGTCAGTAACTATGCGTGTCATTAATAACACTGGTTTTCTGGAGTATTTGGCAAGCTGTGAATATGTTGCTACTTAATGCATTTATATGCTCACTGACAAATATCCAAACGGAAACATTGCAGGAGTCCTCAGTTTTCCTGAGTTATAAAAAACAATTACTGCTGATAATTCAGGTGAGCTTGTTTTTGATTATTGGCTGCTACAACTTGAAAATGGTACTTGGTCACTTGATTCTTAATTATTTAAGTAAGCAAAATGTATATTTATAAGTGATATTGCTGATTGTTTTTGTGAACAATGTAGTTGATGTCCAACACAACAGAAAAACAGGAACCACTATGACATTTTGTCAGTCTCTCCTCTGTGAAGCGGCACTCTGCATATCATAAAGAGTGTTTCAGTGGCTTCGTGACATAAAAACGACTGAGGTTAGAGCTCATGGTGGGTATTCAGCACAGATAAATTTAGTTCAGTTCTACACTGGAAAGACTGAAATTACAAGAACTGCAGTTGAATTATTACTCAGCTCCTAGAGTGACAGCATTTCCCCTTTAATATGTTGACAAGTAAATTAGCTGTAGTGACATGAAATTTCACCATAACCAGCAATTTCGATTTTTTTCATGATTTTCCTTTGATTTGAAAGTGTCTACAATGACTGACATTCAAACTTTTAAGTAATATTACTGCTGCTACATTCTGCCACTGGTCCCTGAATCAATATATCATTACTACATGAGGAAATAAGCCCTATTGGGTGCGGTCAGACCACATGTAAACAAAGACATATTTAAATTTAGTGAAAACTGAGGCAACATGTTGAGGCATCCTGCATCTTGGATGAAATCCCAGACCAGGTATTTGCAACAATTTGTAAAGCTCATTATACACATATTCATAGCCTATTATCACCCAAAGGTCAGCTCATGTGGCTTAAGCCTTTCTCTGCTCTCTGCCTGTTTTCTGCAGGGTTGAAGTTAATATGTGTTCACAGTAATTGGTAAATGAATAGTCATATATATATATATATATATATATATATATATATCCCTTGTGAAGGGAATCTCAGCAGTATGGGTTAAACATCTGGTTCTAATGGCAGTATGCCATTCAGAGTATGTGGACTATGGAGCAAGCTATGATAGATGGCACTGTAATTCCATAGGCTTTCCTCAGTAATATAATGATGTGAGTGAGTGAGCAGCCTGACAACAAGATAATCGGATCAAGCGATGATGGACAGGCGCTTTCAGTGAATCCATAATTGAGTCAGGGAACTTGCTTGTTCATTGGAGAAGATGCATACAGATTGGGATGAAGGAGCAAGGGAGCGGATCTGAGTGACCTGAATAAAGATAAAGTCAAAGGTTTTCTCACACCGAGAAAAAAGATCCCGATAAAAGTGCAGCTACATGAAAGACAAATGTTTCCCACTTCATGCTAAAACAATAACAGAGAGACATAGAGTGTGTTTTACATTGTAATATCCATCACTGCTGACTTATCTGCTTTATTGTCCTTTAAAAGTTAACATTAACTCTATGCCATGAGTGTTGTGAAACTCACCACTTCATAATCAACATTTAACCTTAAAAAAACAACAACAACAGTCTATGAGCTTGTGTCATAATATAATCACGCTAACAATTAGTAGCAATTCCTACTTTAATTTTACACACTCATTACAAAGTCATGTTTTAGTCTAGTTCCTCAAACGTCCTGATTTTGCTACTCAGTTAAAGCGGAGTGTACCAAACTCCAATCTATCATAAGATGGCAACATCAATATTTAACCATTCTGCAACATTATGTGCACTGACATGTTTATATTTTTTTTAATTGCACAAAAGGTGCTTCAAGTAAAACAATGATGGCAAATATGTAATAAATAAGCAGGACTAAAATATATTTTTTTAAAAATGAACTCGTGGTCTGTAAATGGAGGTGGGCTTCAGTCTCCTTGGTGAAAGTCAGACTTAACACAAAAACTTTAGAATAGATCGCCTTGAGCTCTGTACCCTTTAAGTCCCACCTCATTCAAAATATGTTTTGCTCAACGTTACTTAACGTGGCTGTTTGACCTTCTATGGTCTTAAAATGCACATACTGTATGTGATGTGCAGTTTGACACCAGCAGACTGTTTTCATTTCTGCTGAAGTCGTTTTCTCAGGGCTAACCTTGGATCTGATGTGTGTGGACAGGAGCAAGATTGCGTTACATCACCACTAGTCATGAAGCGAGTCATAGTGTGGTATGCCACAATGCTGAGTCATTCCCCAGCACACATACGCTGACAGTGAACTAATCCATACCGTGCGGTGACAGTGGAGTGGAAGCAGTGCTGAGAATTTTTAACAAGGAGTCAAACTTTTCTTCTTTAAATAACTTCATCAGAAGCAATTTCTTTTATCAGGCAGATTATCTCTATAGGTTTTTAAGTTGCCTCGCTTTAAAATACTGCTTGCATTGGGACTAAATGCAAAAAGTCAGCATGATTTATCAGTAGTCAGCACTGTTGCCTTGCAACAAGAGACTCCTGCATGTGTGTGTGTTTGCAGAGGATGTGAATGTAAAGAAGTCCTCTAATGCAGACATAATTTTCCTGGTGTACTTAGTTGTTTTTTTCTAATTATCCTTCTTTGGAGAAACAAGGGTAGCAGAATATTTAGGAGTTAAGTCTCCTTATTGCTCTCTACTTGCGTTCTGCAATAAAGGCATAAAAAGCCATTCCAACCATCAGATACTTTAAGGATTATGAACCTGCTGAATGAGAAGTATAGTAGAGTAGAATGTATATGAAATGCCAAGAATTAGTATTAGCTGCGTGTCAGTGACTCATTCAGGAGATCAGGCTGGTTGCAAATATTTGGTGCTTTTGGTGGATATTGAGCATGATTTTATTATAAGTTTTGTAACGCCACCCTGAGATAACAAAGCCAAATTTTCTCTTTTGCACAAACAGTGAGGGATGCAGGGTGATATATGGCACATCTATCAACAAACCTACAGAGCTGGATGTTTGAGATTTTTGTATTTCATGGCAGCAAAAGCATATGCTTCTATGACAAAGAGCACTGATACCCTTTTGGATCCTAAAACGGCAAGCAAACGAGTAGATTGCGGGAAGGCTTTAGAAGAGATAATGGACCGTTCCTATTAAGTAAACACTTTTCCAAAACTAGTGTGTACCAAATGTCACAGCCTCCTTCTAAGAAAATATAATTAAAGGCCTCAGAGGTGGAGAGGATAGAAGCTTAGCATGCGGCAGTTTGTAAACACTTCATTACGTCGCTGTCATTCAGCAGAGTGTCTGACAAAGGACAAGTAAAGGCTTCATCAGCTGCATCTGGTAATGAGCATACCCCTGGCACAACACAATGAAGTTGTGATACAGAGCTTTTGTGCTCCAGGTCAGTCTAATTGCACATGCTTGGGTAAGTGGTGTAAAAAATCAAGTAGATTTTTAATGTCTACTGGTCAGAATAGCAAACCAAAAGAGGTTCTTTCAGATGAATGGACAAAATCGGCTCACATCCTTCAGCTACTCCAGCTGTAATTATCCCGCTTTCTCTAACTTGATTACCTCTAAACCTTTTGTCATGTAGTCAGCTGCAAGATTAGGGTCAAACTAATTAATGTGGCTGTCAATGACTTTAGTCCTTCAGTGTATTTGCAAAGAATGTTATAAAGATATTCTTTGTAATATTCAATTTTTTTTACTAATGTAAGGAGAACACATCTCAAATGAATAGTCACAGTTCTACATATCTATGCAGAAACTATTAAATGGAGTCAGTTCAATTTTATTTATAGAGCGCCAAATCACAACAACATTCGCCTCAAGGCACTTTATATTATAAGTCTCCAAAAGTTGATTCTGTTCATCTGGACGTAGCGTTTTCCCAGCCCATTGTTCCTTTAGTGGGCTGGTTTCAGTCATTATGCAAATGTACTGTTTCTAAGATTGGGTAAACCTGCAGTCAGCTGAGACTGAAGAAGTCACTTGGATGAGTGACGGAGCGTTTCTCCCACAGAAAACGCTACGTCCAGATGAACAGAATCAACTTTTGGAGATTTACTTAGCTGGATGATTGAGCATTCATCAAGACGCTTATATTGTAAGGTAGACCCTGCAATAATACATACAGAGAAAAACCCAACAATCATATGAGCCCCTGTGAGCAAGCACTTTGGCAACAGTGGGAAGGAAAAACTCCCATTTTAACAGGAAGAAACCTCTAACGGAGAACCAGGCTCATCAGTCATCTGCTATGACCAGTTGGGGTGAGAGAAGAAAGACAGGACAAAGACATGCTGTGGAAGAGAGACAGAGATTAATAACAAATCCAAACTTCATGTCAAGTGTCATTATATAAACGTCTATTAGTTTGTTTTAATCACCGATCACAGAGAAATCAGGTAAAATTATATTACTGGTAGAGAGCTTCTCAGGAAGCTCAGTTTCTTCCACTCATCCTTCTCCAGGGAAATCTTAGAAACCAACTCTCCTTCACCAGGGAGCCAGTGTCTTGGTTGGAGAGGGAAGAAAATAGATTATTTTAGGAATCGCAAAGGATGGTAGGGATACTTTAAAAAGTAAGCCACGCTCATAAATTCAGTTGGTGGAGTTTCTTCTGTATAAACTTGGACTTAAATCTGTCCCTCCTTTGTTCCGTCCTAAATACAATATTGAAAATGCTGCTGCACATAATGTTTCTGAGAACTCTTGAGATCACTGTTGGATTCGACTGGCTGGAGAAAAGAGACCTAAAAATTCTCACATCTCTGGCTGCAATTAGCAGCTACATATGTTTAGTTTGTTGTCTGAGAGGAGACCTGTAGAACACTACTCGGTGAGATCTGCATTTCTGAAACAAAGGCAAGGGAGCAGACATCATTTTTCAAACTGGTTATAATTAGCTGTTTGTGCCAAAGCTCCAGTTTTGAATTAATTAGAGCAAAATTATAGACTGGTTACAAGTGAGACTTGCTAATCTCAAGATAATGAGTGCAAAACATAATTATGACACTGAGGAACTCGATACAGGTTGTACTGGAAGAAAACCTCACACTAATATCACGCTAAAGAGGAACTGGTATGGATTTTTGAGTGGAAGCAACTATGGGAGGTTAAAGGCCTTTTTAGCCAGCAGGTGTGTCTCTTATTTCTTTACAGTCAAACAACTCCAAAGCAGTGTTAACAGAAAACCCTTTCAGGATCCACTAATCTCAAGTGATGTAAAAATTAATCGATACATTTCGAAAAATCAATACCAGAGTGAGAGATGGAGCTGAATCTGTTTGGAGCCACGGATTCAAATCAAAAGCTATAACAAAAATGACCTGAAAACTGTCAGTTAGCCTTCACTTTTGTTTGTCTGACCTTTAATAAGGAAATGCCAGCACTGAATATATGTATTCAGTGCTGTATAGAACTTATGATGGTGTATATGATTTACTCTGGAGACTGACAAAGGTTACACTGTGCATGAATATACCACGTGTGCTAGTGTTTATGAGAGGCATATTGTTGGGCATTTGAATATTGCTGCTAGGAATAAAACCTGTTAACAGTTTCAGTCAACATGCATACGTTATTAGATTGTCATATAGAAGCTAAATTTAAAGTGAACATCACTTGGACAGATTGGAGCAACCCTGAAATGTCAGTGCCTCCTATTATTATGTATTTATAGCTATATAAACACATACGAGTATTCACTAACATTAGATGCTGATTCAGTGGGATAAAAATCTGGAAGCGTAAACATGATCCGCATTCATTTAGCTAATAGCAGCACTTACTCTCTAGAAATCAAAGGGTTTTTTTTAAATAATATGAAACCATTAGGCTACCCAAATTGAAAATATTTGCATCTCACTGAGTCTCTAAACATACATATTAGCCTAATAAATTCAACTTCAGTAAAAGCAGTAAGACGATGTAAAAATCAGCAGCTTTTGACTAGCTTGCTAGCATTAGCATCGCTCTATGTGCTAACAGCCTGTACTTAAGCACAAAATTCAGCGCTGGTCCCTCCATCCATTCTACACTCAACGTTTTGAGTTTTCAAAAGTCTATATCATAATGCAGAACACACGTCTGCATTTAAATCTGATTGTAAGTGCAGAAGTAGCCTGGATGATATGAGATGCAATCAGCAGGTTCGCTTGTTCAGTCTCGTGTTAATCTCCCTGTCTTAAAGATGAATTTAATGCATCACTGTTACGTCCAGATACAACTCAGCTGAAACTCAGCCAATAAACGCTACTTCTTAAAGCACTCAACTGGATCCAATAACTTTTTATCTCAGTTGTATATTTTTTTCCTTTATGTTTAGGAGGCGCAGAGAAAAACTCCAGGCCCACCTGAAGGAGAGTCGCAGTTTGAAAAACTACACTACTAGTTCCCATAATGCCCTAGAAGCCAAAATGAGGGCCTCTAACACCAACCTGCAAATTCATGAGGTGAGTACATGAGATGTTTTTTCTCTTCTTTCTTTTTTTGGTGTTTATACATGTAAACACATGGAAAACTGACCTCATGCAGAACTCCTGGTGCTCCTGTTTTGTGAAGACTGTTGGCTCGTTTTCACATGTGCACTGCAACCTGGAATTTTTCTATAGGAGCAATATAGGTTTACAAGACAGGATAATGCAGATGGCATTGGCCAGTTGAACATCAGCAAATCTAAAAACTGATCATCATTTAAAGCAATACATTCTCTTATTTACTTACCTCCTTACTTTTAGTTACGGATTTATGAAAGAGTAAACATGAGGCTGTACTTGTGAGAGATTACTTCTTACAATGAATGTAGCAACATCCAGCTCTCTTCCAAAAAAATTTGTTAAAGCTGGAAATTCAAATGCAGGCTCGTGTTTTAATATAAATCGTTCGTTTATCATTGTTGTGGTAGCTTTTTTTTTTTATCTCACCCATAGAGGCCAGAGTTTTTTGTAACAGTTATAAAGCCGTCCCTGGCTGAATTTCTGGATGTTGTTGTTTTTTTAGGTAGGAATTTTAAAATATAGCCTTGGGCTTCAGGGGTTGGTTATTATTTTTCAGTAAATTAGTTGGCATTAGCAAGAGTCAACAAACATTAAAACATAAATCTTAATCTGAAAACCAACAAATATTCAAAATGAGATGTCTGCTCCCTAAAGTTATTATCACTGAGCAGACACACACCTCACACACGACACCGCAGAGGATTACCATTAGATTTATGGCTGCCTGCAGTTTGTGCATGTGAATAAGTATGTATTGCTGTCTCCACCTGGCCACTTGCAGGAGGCTTACAGGTCTTCTTGAGAGCAATCGTTCAGTGGTTTGGGAGCATGCTGCTGGCTGCCAGTGTCATTCATCATCTCCTCAGTGCTCTGTGTCATCACGCTCCCAAATGTGCGTCCGGGAGTAGCTGGCATGGACATGAAAATTACCTTAACATGAATGTTGCTCCTGGGAGACTGTCCTTGTGTGTATTTCTACACCAATCTGCATAAATTAACCTTAAGCATTTTTTACAGTTTAATCATGTAAATCCCTCAGGCACTTCATTAGGTACACCTATGAGATCTAACATATTCCAGTACAACATCTATACCATGAATTACTGTGTTTCCAGCTTGTGATTTTCTTATCTTTATTGCATAGGTCATAATGGGTGCTGGTAGCGCTCCACCAGACTGCATTATATTTAAATGGTTCCAAATATTTTGTCCACTCCACTGAAATTAGTACACAAGTGTGTAAAGTATTAGAAACATTTTTAAATGCACTGTTGGTCTATACACAAGGGGCTCCATCATAAGCGCATTAATATGCAGAAGATGAATAAATCACTGTGTGGGAAAAGCAGTGGAGATAATTACATTTCATGCTGGCAGTTCGTGATACAGCTGACAGATTTATCCTGATTTGTCATCATTGCAAAGACTGTCCTCTGAAAAAAATACATCAGCGGTTGTTATTTCATTAAAAAGCTTGAAATATAATATCTTCACCTGTAATGCCAAAGAAGGGAGTTTTGCAAAATGGGTTGACAAAAAAAATAAGATAAATGTCAAACATACCAACTATATCTGGATACATCTTTGGTTTTGACCCCAGAAGCCACAGTTGCACTGCACTGGTTTTTGACACCAAAAAGGCAATGTTGTCCATATTTTATCTGACGTTTTAAAAGAGACCTAAAGTAATACTTAGACTTTGGAAAAGTAAGCTATGGTAACTTGTGGCTACAACCTTATATTTACCATACAGTCACCAGCATGGTATCAATATTGTCATCTAAATTTTGACAGCAACAGAGAAAATTTCCTTTGTCTGTTATGGCATATTTAAAATTTCAGATGAATCTGTTAAACAAATGAGTAGTTTTGCGAGCATAATAGTGTCATACTTGATTTGAAATGCAGAAATTGAGATTCTGATTTTTTTGTATCGACACTTTCATCGAAAAATAAAAACGAAATGAAAATGTCCTGGAGACACGAGATCCAATCAGAATGAAGCTGTATAGAGAAGCGGGATGATCCAATCAGAAGTATTCTCCTTTTACAGCAAAAACTGATCTGCTAGTGACAAATGTTGGGGAGGGGAAGCACCCTGTTTTTCATGAAATATGCCAAAATGGACGAACAGAAGAGTCGACACATGGACACATTTCATGCTTAATGTCTTTGAAAATAAGAAGCTTTGTAAACCATGCGGAGCAACTTTCACCAGTAAAAACACGACACACTTTTACAGTTTATATTTAATGAACTTTATCAGTTTTGATATTTTGTTGACTAAAACTAAAAGAATTTAGATGCCCGATTTATGGCTAAAACTAACTGACGTTTTAATCAAAGTTTGCTGTCAAAATCGTCACTGGTAGTTCGGATAATGTTCAAAGTATAGTTCAGCACACACACTTCTTTCAGTCATTCTAGCACAAATTCATTTTGATTTATCTGTCTGATTGATCTTGTAAAGCAGCGGTCCCCAACCCCTGGGCCACGGACCAGTTTGGTACCGGGCCGCGAGAGTAGAGGCTCGGGTGTGAAATGTATGGTTTTCAGGGTTTTTATCGTTTTTTATCGTTTTATTGTTTCCCTGGGTCTTTTCCCGTGTGTTATGACTAAATCTTCTTTTTATTGTTACCGGTACTGGTTTTATTTTGTGGTATTTGTCTGCAACACCTTAAAGGTCGGTCCGTGAAAATAAGCCCGTCCATGGTGCAAAAAAGGTTTGGGCCGCTGTTGTAAAGGATAAAGGACCATCTTAGGGTAAAACCTTGGCTTGTACAACCAATTTAATTCAGTCTTATCAGTTTTATAGCACAAAATCACAACAAAACTTATCTCAAGGTACTTTACATTGTAAGGTAGAGCAATTATATTATTAATGCTATTATGTTACACTTACCTCCTCAAACAAATCTAATCTAAAACATCCACTTGGCTGCTTCGTGGTCTCCCAGATGTTTTGGTGTTCCCAAGCTTGCGACTGCATTTTAATATCGTCCCAACTTGTTGATTTGTTGACTGCATGGTTCCCTTTGTCTCTTTTCTTTCTTTCAACTCCAGACCTTTGATCTCCTTATGAAAAAATAGGTGTGTAAATCCGAAATGTATCAACCATTCCTGAATGTTTTTAAAGACTTTGAAAGCTGAACGTCTACATATCAATCACATTTTGATTGTTTCATTTTAGTTTTAATGTCAGCCTCAAATAAATGTCAACACATTGACACTCTTGCCCGAAGCCTCCACCTTCAGTTTCAGTTCAGACGATTCAAGAGTGTAAGACATGGCTCGGAGACAGACTTAACCAGAGTTTGAAAGCAATCTGAAAAATCTGGAGTTTGTAAAGATGGTGTGTCAGGTGCGTCTCCTCAAATTACCTTCAAGGTAAGAGGTCTGTCGAGGACAAACATACTGGCTTCCCAAACTAATGTAATGATCAGAGGAATAGCAAAAGTCCAGCCTCCAGCATAACTGCATTGCACAAAATATGCCCAAAAAACAGTCAATATTATTTTAATCTCAAAGAGCAACATTTATATTTCAGACAAATAACTGAGGTATTGTTGGAAATTGTGCAGCCATTAGAAGTACATCACATTTCATTTCACTTTCAACCTAAATGTCAGAGTTACTGAAAACAAATGCAAATAGATTTCTGTGTTTATCGACCCGATGAGAGAGAAGGCACAGGAAAACAGATCAGTTATATAGATCAGAAACGAGTCTGGGAAACTTGAATATTTTGTCGTCTTCATACTTATGACTTGAAACTCCGTTCTGATTTTCAGCTGTGTAGCTATTTAAGGACATTTTTGTTATCTTTTCACTTTCTTATCTCCTTTTGTTTTATGGAAGTCAACAGTAGGAATGTTGTATTCCTTTTTCTTCTCGTTTATAGAAGCTTCATTCAAACTTTAAGTGGGTCACTGTTCTTTATCTCAGAATTTCCACTTTGCTTTATCTTTTTTCACTTACCTATTTTTTCCAACATCACTCTGATACATGATAATATAAATGGTCCAGTGCATGCAGGGACATCACATTAAATGTCACATCACCTAACATATTCAGCCACAACCTAGTTTATCGACAACACAGCTGCTCATTGATTGTCACTGAGGCATTAAGCTTGTCTAAACCACACTGCTTCACATCTAGTTTTGAAATATCATGTTGTATTGAGAAAAAAGCTTTTTCTTGTTCTAGTTAAGAAGCCCACACTCACTCGTCTTATTGATGAGAGACACCAGATTAGTAGCAACGCTCTTTTTACTAAAACACGTGTGTTGTTGACAGTGCCTTTAAAGATGTCTTTGTCATTTAACGGATAGTGATTGAAGTGTAAATGACCATTATTGCCTCCCTCTTATGGTGCACTTCAATTATTATTGTGTTATTTTGCAATAACTAATGATCTTTTCTGCAAAGAATTGAAAAAAGTAGACTATAATCGAATATCACATGCACATTGCATAAATTTGTACAGAAAATTATTTAAAATAAGCACTTTGGCTTTTGTTTTCCTTACTGATTATTGTTTACTGACTCCAAAAAATGTTTTGTGGTGGAAAAACAAGGCGGATCTTTAGTGCATAAATGTTGCTTTGAAATCTTCTTTTATTTATTTAAATTCTACAACAGTCTTTGGGGAACTTGCATGCAAATGAGCAGCATTTGTTTATTTTGTGCCTACGCACCCAGAATCACATTGATTTCTGTCTGCAGGCAATCAATTACTAAAATTTCTGAAAGGAGAGCAACAAGCATGGGGTCAATGGTGTATTAGGATCTTACACACACACAAAACAGCCACACACACATTCATTTCTGTGGCATTTTTTCACTACACAGACACATTTTCGTTTTATTATTATGCCCAACTTTCATTTAGATTCGTACTTTTCATCTCATTTTGCAGTAGCTACAAGTAGATCTAGACCCCTGTGATCATG